TCACCGGGCCGGCCCCGGCGGTAGGTGAGGTGCAGGCAGCGCAGCCCGCAGACGATCTCCCTGTTCACCTGCGGGCACAAGGCAGGGGGGTCTTGGGGACTGTCCCCATGGCATGGAGACCCCTGGCACCCTGACATCTTCCAGGATGTCAGAATTCAGCAGCATCAAAGGTGGCAGGGACTCCAGGCTGGCAGGTAACTCCAGGAGGGGCAGGGACTCAGAGATGGCAGGGATCCCCCTCAGGAGGAGCAGGGACCTCTAGGAAACCCTTGGATACCAGCACTGCTGGGATCTCTGGGAGAAATGAGGATGCTGGGGTGGCAGGAACCATGGGGTGGCAGGAACCATGGGGACAACAAGGACTTCCAGGGTGGCAGTGACCCAGGAGGGAACTCAAGGTGGACAGAGACCCCCAGAGTGGCACAGACCCCAAGGGTAAAGGGTGGAAGAGGATGTGCCAAGGCAAAGACCCTGGGACAAGCAGGGACCCATGGGTGGCAGGAGGGACCCAGTGGGGCAGGGTCCCAGGGTGTCAAGGACCCCTCAGGGTGGGGAACCTGCGGTGTGGGGGCAGCAGGGCCATGCCCAGCCAGGGGGCACAGGGCACCACGCACTCCCCTCACCTTGAAGGACACCTTCACTCTGTAGTCCACCCCTTCCTTCAGCACAAAGGCCCGGCCTCTCAGCTCCTCCAGGTCTCCTGCACAGGCAGATGGTCCATCAGCCCAGTACCCCTTCTTCCTCCTCCCCCTTCTCCTCCTCCTCCCCTCCCAGGTGTCCCCAGGCTCACCTGTCAGGTCCATGGTGATGGGCCCTGGCGCCTGCTCGCACATGAGTGTCAGCTTTGTCACCTGCACGTTGGGCACGCTGGCATCTGGGGACAAGCAATGGGGCCCAGACCTTACCCACCATGGCCAGCCCCACCATCACCTCCATCCCACAGAGCCAAGGGGCTGCTCATGGCTGTGTGGGAAGGGCCACGGTGTCCGTGGTGGGGGTGTTAAAGCAAGTGAGTGCCAGGCAGGGCACTGAGAGCAGGTGCACCTCAGGTCACCCCACCACAGCCCTTTGGGGTAAGATCACGTTTAAAGGACCCTGACATGAGTATTTCCCAGGGGATACCGTTTCCTGGCTCAAGAGCAGAACAAGGGGGAGCAGAGGATGAGGATGCAGCACGTGCAGCCAACGCACCCCTTGAGGTGGGCACTGGTCTCATTCACCCCACAGCCCACCCTGCCCTGCCCCAGCTTTCACACACACCACGGTGCCCCCCATGCCCCCGCTGCT